CCCCAGGGTGGTAAGTGCACGACTCCAGAAAAAGCCCATGTTTTCAAGACAGAGAGCCATGGATCAAGTGATCTGATCCAACAGGTTCTAACTCTGTGTCCCAGGATCCACTATAAAATGTCTGAGCCTGGAGTACTATCTACTGATGCAAATATTGGATCTGAACCCGTAGGTACTCTGTTATTGTTCACTGAGTAATTCTCAGGGCTCATAAAACCTTTTCTATTAAATAGAAAATAGACATGTCCCATGTCTTGCCAATGCTGTGGTGAGCCTATTGTCTACTCCTTGGGCCCCTTATCTCTCCCTCTGGAGGACTGAAGTCTTCAAACTGGGTAGGCCCTTTTGTAATCAGTTAAGTGACCACTTGGAGGAAACAAAGACAGGGTTGGGAGTTTTTACTCACTTTCTGTGACTAATGCCAGCAGAGGGAGAACTATAGGGAAAACCCAACCTTGCTCTCTTGGGTTCCGCATACTTGTATAAGGACTTTTACCAAGCTCTTAAAACAGCTTTGCTATATCCTTGACTCAAACTTTCTTGGATGAAGACTGGTGATCTACAAGCTATGGACTTAAGCCCAAACTTTACATCTTGCTAGGATTCTTGTCACACAAAGGAATCAATCCATTTTAAATGGCAACAAATATAAGGAGTGTTTCCCCCCCTGGACTTTTGTTTTCTTTGTATTTCTTTGCTTCTTTTAAAAAATATTTTCTCCATGATTATGGATTCGAGAATGTTCATAGCTCAGATACATTTTGATCCACTAGAAACAGTGTTCTCTTTGATGTGGGTGTTGTCTGACTACTTTTGAGGACCTTTCCAAATCACTCTTACAACGTCTTCATGGTGAAAAACTGTCTTGTTTCTAGCACAAGTAGTTCTAGGTGAGATGCTCTGGTTCCTTTTTCCCAGGGACAGCAGTTAGAAAGGGAGACCCAAACATTTGAGACAATCTCTGTCTCCAGTGGTTGTCATTTTTCCCACAGTACCGTATTCAAAGGAGCCCCAGTGAGACTGGCATTAAGAACTCCACTGCTTACCTGGTGAATTGTGCCTGAAAGATTAAGCTGAGGAAACCCTATTGGACAGTTCTATTCTGTCATATGGGGTTGCTGAGTGGAAATTGGCTTGATAGCAAACAGCTGTCTTAGTTAACTGGCCATCAAAACCACCCACCTCACCCCCACTAGCTGTGTCCCATTTTCTCATCTATGAAAAGGGACAAAAAAATGTGTCTCCCAAAACCAAATGACCAGCACTTCAGAGCTTAGAAGATAGAGCCTACAGAGTTTAGAATTTGGGCTGGCTCCACCAATCTTCAAGTGACAGAAGATTCTTCCATTTTATCACGCTAAAGGAAAGAAAGCAGTTAATGCTATTGATCACCCCAGTTTTAGAATTTTACAAAATTTATTAGAATTTCGGGAAACTGAGGAAATTTTATATCCAAGTTGAGCCTGTGTCTCTGAAACCTAGTCTTACAAAGAGTCAAATTCTGCCCACAAGTAAAATTGAAGGGGAGATCAGCTGTGTTAGGAGCTTGTAGGGCTCATTCTGTTAGTGGGAAGTGTTGGAATTGAAAATACATTATAAGCAAAGAAAGTGCAAAAAGATTAGTGAACTGGAAAAACAATTGGCTTGCCAGGAAAGCAGTGTTTAATCCATCTGTGTAGTTTTAAATGCTCAACAACAACAACAAAAGTTTTGCAGATTCAGACTTAGTTGACATGACCAAGAGAAGGTACCATTATTGGTGTGTCACACTTGAAGTCATTGCAAATGAAAGCTCACAGTGCAAACTACAGAAAGACAGGGGTGATACCCCTCTTGTCTCTGCTGTCTCCCTAGTACTTTGCATAGGGATTGGAACAGAAAGGCTTCATGATCCACAGTGTGTCAAAGGCAAACAAAGGAACAAAGGTGAAATTCCTACAAACCTATGTGTCCCCGACAACACACATAGTCACACAGGAGTTGCAAAGTGGACTCAGAAAGCACACTGTTATAACTGAGTCAATATTGATACATTATTATTAACCAAAGCCTAACTCAAATCCTTGCTTCTCCCTACTCTAAAAAGGTCTTGTGAGAAGATTTGCCCAATGCAAGGCTTTTCTTGATCTCTTAACTGCTGCGCCCATGAGCATTGATTTTGGATTCAAGCAAGGCAAAATTCTTGACAACTTCCAACCTTTTCTCATATTGAGTTGCAATTTATATTGAATGTTGCAATCCTTGATCTTCCTCAGCAAGTGCTTCCAGTCCTCCTCACTTTCAGCAAGCAAGTCATCTGCACATCTCAGCTTGTTAAAAAACCTTCCTCTAACCTGATGCCACATTCTTCTACATATAATCCAGCTCCTCTGATGATTTGCTCAGCATACAGATTGAATAAGTATAGTGAGAAGGTATAATGCTGGCACACAACTTTGAGTCCCTGGGGGATGCCAAAATTACTATTTTTCCCCCCACTATCAGTTTCTTTTTAATTTTTTTAAATCATTTTATTGGGGGCGCTTACAATTCTTGTTACAATCCATAAATCAATTGTATCTGACATATTGGTACATATATTCCATCATTCTTTTCTAGACATTTGCTTTCCGTTGAGCCCTTGGGATCAGTTCTTCTTTTTTTCCCTCCCTCCTTCCCCCCACCACCCTCGTGGCCCCTTGATAGATTGTAGATTGTTAATTGTTTTCAAATCTCACACCAACCACTGTCTCCCTTTCCCTCTGGTTTCTGTTGTTTTTCCCCCTGGATGAGGATGTGTGGTTATGTGTCATTCATTGCGATTGGTGCCCCTCAAATTACTATTTTGATGTGCTATAAATTAAACTGTGAAGAATTCTTGAGGGAAGGGTTCTTCTTCCTTCTGCCTTTCATTGTCCACCAGTCAATTCCAGAGCCCTGTGGTGGTATTACTGTGTTATGCATTACTGTGTTAACCACAAGGTCAGCAGTTCTAAACCATCAGCCACTCCTTGGGAGAAAGATGTTGCTTTGCACTCTCTTGACAAGTGGCCCTCTCAGAAACACACAGGAGAAATTCTACTCTGTCCGATAGGGTCGCTATGAGAGGAAAGGTTAGGGAGCTAGAAACACCACTTTCAGGAGGATACAGATCTAGATGGGAGATATGTCAAGAAACAATGGCCTCACTCTCATGTGGTTGGTTTAATAAAGGTGTCTATGATTTTGCAGCAATACTTTTTTACTTACCCTCATGTAGCCATCCTATATCGTTATAATAAAAGTAAACCATGCTCTTCTCCAGAAGACTCAGAAATGCTTAAAAGAGAAAATAACAACCACCCATACAAACTGCCACCAGTAATATTTCGTTTAAGGATGCCTGGGGCATGCTGCCTAAGTCCTGGCTAACCTACAAACGGTCTGTGGGAGAAAGGTGTGACAATCTGTTTCCATAAAGATGACAGCCTTACAAACCCAATAGTGAAGTTCTGCTCTGCGCGATAGGTCTGCCAATGACTTGGAATTAATTTGATGGCCATGGGTTTGGATGCTTTGAAAAGGGAGTCCCGGGGGTGCAGTGATTAAGCGCTCGGCCTTTAATTGACTCCATGGAGGGGGGATGGGGATGGGAATGGCAAACTGCTCCTATCAAGATTATAGTCTAGGAAATCCTATGGGACAGTTCTTTCCTGTCCTCTAGGGTCACTATAAACTGCAATGAATTTGAAAGCAGACAGCAACATTTGATATCTTTTTCAGGTTTTTTTGTTTGTTTGCTTGTTGTTGTTCATTATATGCAGTATTCCATTTTCTTTTTAATTCTAGATTTTTGCTTCTATCAAGACCACCAAATTATAATGAATAGATACAGAACACTTGTGTCAAGAAACTACAGCTAATTTAACAGAGGAAAACATCCTTTGATTCAGTGAGCCATTGGTCATCTTTCATTTATCAACATTCTGAGGTTGGATTGTTCTAAACCATAACCTAGTGTACAATCCACACACAAAGTTGCTGTTTAGTCGATTCCAACTATAGCGCCCGTGTCCGGCAGAGTAGCATGGTGCTTCATAGTGTCAGTAGTTGTGGTTTTTACTGACTACGTCACCAGTCTTTCTTCTGAGGCACCTCTGGGCCTTATATTCCCAAATGTATCTAGCCTATTGCACTCTTTTCAGAGAAAAAGCAAACAAAAGCAAATTACTCAATATCACCTTTAAAACCTTCCGTAGGACAGGCACAATTCAAGATCAAATGTAGGTATCTGCCTTTGCAGCCCCTCTGGGTAATTCCAGCACCCCCAGGGAGCGGTATCTCCCACTTTGGAAATACTGAGGTAGACTCAAAGAGCCAATCATTTGCTTAGAAACAAAACACTTAATCAGTTGTGCCACCAAAGGACTTTGGTCCACTAATGGGGAAATAATATAAAGGCTTTGAAATCAACCGGACCTAAGATTGACTTCTCATCCTCCCCTTCTTCACTAAATAGCTCAATAAAATCCTTCCTTATCTTGCCCCTCAATTTTCCCAAATGCAGTATAATCATTGTTCTGGAGAAAAACCAAGAGGCTGCCTGTAAATTGCCTCATATGACACCACCGAAGAGTAAATGGTCAACGTAACAGCAGCCAACATTCCCTCCCAACCACAAACACCATCCTCTTTCACAGAGGACCATAGAGAAAGTGTCATTACCTGCAGTGTGTGCCTCAAGAGTTTCCTTCCCATCAGGGAAAAGGGGAAGCCAGTATTGGTGACTAAAGAGGAAGATGAATGAGGTGGGCGGGCCTGCCCAGAGCTGACCAATGTTGACTGGCAGCCTCCACCCCCCTGCCCCACCCCAACCAGGTATCCAGTGGAGTCACTCATTTGAGTGCTAAAGCTTCCAGTCCGGTCCTACCACCGCAGGGGGCATTGGATAGCAGCATAGGCTGTGCTCCCCTTCCCCGGCGCTGGGACCTCCACCCCACCCGCTCCTGGCCAGACAACTGGAGATAATATTCAGAGGGAGAATGAGCCCAGCGGGCAGAACAACTTTCTTGGAGCTGCAGAGCATGGAAGCGCGGGGAGCTGAGGGCTACAGCAACACCACTTTCCAGGTAAGCCCAAGTCTCATCGAAGTTTATAGAAAACCAAGGGCAAAGAAACCACACTCCTTACTTGCTCCCTTGGCAACTGTACAGTGTGATTGTTATTGCAGTTGTTGCAGTAAGATTTGTTAATGGCACTCATTAAGCCTATTTTTCCTTCTTGGCTTAGTCTCAGGTTAACAAACCTGAAAGACCTCTTTTAATCTGATTTGTTTTGCTTTAAACTTTGTCCTGTCTCTTGGAAAAATGACTGCTTTTGTTTTCCTTTTTTCCGTTTTTGTTTCGGGCTCTTGCAGGAATATGGCATTCGCCTGCCCAGTGCCTTTAATTTCTCTGAGACAAGGAACTAGGAAAAAGGAATGAGCTGGTGCAGGGACCCAATCCCCAATGGCATTAGTGACTCCCAGTTCTTTGTCCCTAATCCAGGCCTGATCTCTTCTGAAGGGTGGCCCAGGACCTGCCCCACACTAACCCGGTTGTGCAAACCAGTCTCCTGTCATCATCAACCAAAACTCAGCATTAGGTGATTAATGCTGCTGATCCTGGGCTGGGTGTTACCAAGCGGGAGAGACTTGCCATTGAGGGAGAAAAAAAAATCCACAAGCTATTCTGACAGGAATGGGGATTTTCAGGGAGGTTCCTGGTTGTCTAGTCATGGGAGTTCTGGAACAGATACAAAAACCACATGAGTATGTGTTCACAACCTCTTGGGGTTCAGGATCACTAGGCAAAACAAAACTGTAAGGTCTTAGCAAAAAACAAAAGTAGAGGGCCGGTTAAAGAGATGAAGAAGCTTTGAAGTGAGCGCTGACTCTCCCACCCACAGCTGTTTCAACCTATCAGAGACAACAGTGCTGCCCATCCCAGTGCTGCCCATCCCAGAGCAAAGAAGGCTTAAAGCACAGGCTCTGATGGTCTAGACGATGAAAGAAAGTCCATGTGAGCTTGCCAGCCAGGAAATGAAGAACAGAATTTCAAATCCTCGGGCGATTACGATTTCTGGAGTCCTTGAGGACAGACAAAAATAAACTATTGCTCTGATATCATCTTTAAACTAAAACGATTCATGAGGTCTTCTTTGAGAAAAAAAAACACTATGCATCTTAATTAGTCAAAGGATATCTGCTTTTAAGTTTTGTGTTCCTTTAAAGAAGTATCAATGTGAGAAAACACGGACACTGGCAACTCAAAAGGTCTCATGGGAAGCTTAAAAGACAGTGAGTGTAAAAATGATGGTGGTAGACTAATTCAGGAAAGGACATCCAGAATGGTAACAGAACTTTACAAGTGTGAGCAGTGTCACAGAATTTTAACTGCAGAAATTGTTGGAACGCTGTGTACTTTTACCAAAAAAAAAAAAAAGGTTATGTCACCAGGAACTGTCTGCTCACAGGCAGTAAAGAGAATACTGCACATTTACCAAAGGAGGCAATTTCTCTCTCACTCACTCAGAAGACGCTGCACCAACACCTAGGACAGCGGTTCTCAACCTGTGGGTCGCGACCCCTTTGGGGTGGAATGGCTCTTTCACAGGGGTCACCCGATTCATAACAGTAGCAAAATGACAGTTATGAAGTAGCAACGAAAATAATTTTATGGTTGGGGGAATCACCACAACATGAGGAACTGTTTGGCAGGGTTGGGGCATTGGGAAAGTTGAGAACCACTGACCTAGGGGTTACTGGGTGATTTCTTCCAACACATGCTTTTTAATAAGGATTTCTCGAGACTTACTTTTCCAAATGTCTGTGCCACAGAAGGTCCCACAGCAATTTGCCATCAGCTGTAGTGGTGGCACATGGGGCTGTGATCCACAGGATCGGCGGTTTGAAACCAGCACAGGAGAAAGACTGGGCTTGCTACTCCTGTAAATGGTTCCAGTCTCAGAAACCCTCAGGGAGTCACTATGGGTCAGCATTGACTCAATGGCAGTGAGGTTGAGGGACTAACCCAAAAGGTTGGAAGTTCTAAACCAAGCACAGTAGCAACAAAACCCAACAGATCATTCTAGTCTGTAAAACATGGGTTTCTATATCTTGGAATTGCCTGGACAGTAACACCTTTGGGCATTTATTCCGCACAATTATTAACTTCATTTGGGGTATGAATTATTAACTCCTCTCGAGATTTGAACTGACATCACTTCAAGAAGGAATGATAACTGTTCTTGCCCTCTAGGAGAAGGACAGACTGAAACAAGATAACAACCACAGTAATTTTTCCATGACTTTTGGAAGCCCCAGTGTGTGTGTGTGTGTGTGTGTGTGTGTGTCTGCCCCACTGTGAAATTCATGAAAAGAGAACTTCAATAAGAACTTGAAGGATGCCTAGGGATTTCCAGCTCAACAGAGAATTGCAGGCTAAGAGAACTCTCTGTGCACAGAAAGCGCCTGTGCCCAAGATACTAATAGTATGGAAGTTGGGAGCAGGGTGCAGGGGTGGGCAGGGACCAAACCACATGGTCTTCATGCATGCTAAAGAACAGAAGGAAACTATCAAAATATAGAGACCATTGAAATTTATTCTTTTCCAAGATTGCTTTGGTACCCCTAGACTACAAAGGAGAGAGATTTATGTGCAGGTGGAATTCTGGTTACGGGCTTAACCCAAACTGGACTAGAGTTTCTATGATCAGTACCCAACTACTAGCCAAAAGGTTGGCAGTTTGAACCCACCCAGAGGAAACTCTAAGAACAACCCTAGAAATCTGCTTGCAATTAGCCTTGAAAACCCAATGGAATGGTTTCTGTCCGGAGACATGTAGGGTGGTCTTGAGTGGGAGTTGACTTGGTGGCAACTCAATGCACAGTAGCAGCAAGGATAGTGGCAGTGAAGATAGCTATTGAGGTAGAGACCCAGCTCCCACAAGCACTAACATTAACACCAAAAGTATTTTGTGTTATGATTGGGAATTCGGAGATTGGAGAAAATGAAAGAAGGAACATTATTCTGGCAGAGATGAGAGGTAGGAAGAGAGTGACAGGCTCAGGGGAAGGAAGATGATTGCTAGAGTGGGGTTGTTAATCATATATATTCATAAATTAAGTATTAATATTCATAAATATACATAATTTACTGAGCATAAATAAAGAAGCATTGCTACTAGGTTTCTAGTTCATACATGCATGGATTTTTCCCCAAAAACATGCTTGAACTTATCTCTGCCATTAATGGATGGCTGCAGACAAGTTCTCTTAGTAATAACTTGTCTTTGTCTCAAAAGGTTGTCCTCAAAAATAAGGTTCCATCAAAACGGTGGCTTCCAAGGAGGGCTGCTGGTCCAGTGAAACTTAAGGTACACTGTGGTGAGGGTTCCAATGGGCTAATCTTGGTAGCTTTTCTTACAAGACACAGGATGCTTGCAGGGGCTTAAAAAAAAAGTTAAGAAAATCAAAAACTGCCTTTTGCAAGGGGAGCAAGGACTGTCCTAGGAGAATTTCCTTGACAAACCCTCCCATAGCCACTGGACAGCCTTGATCTCACCCCTTCAGACTTTGTTTTGTTCTCCAAATTCAAAGCACATTTAAGAGGAGCACGATCCAAGTCCCTCAGGGATGATGGTGTTTGACCATTGTAACGTGGTGAGTGCAGAATTGGTGAGTGCAGAATTCTAAATGGCGGATATATTAAGAATTGATAGCTTCATATTTTGATATTTCAATTTAATAAAGGCTTCTATGATTCTGTACAATACTTTTTAACTCATTTTCTTACACTGTATTAATATTGTGAAATAATAGAAAAACACATAAATTCACATGCAATTTATTAAAGAATAAGCATTTATAGAACTTCTACTCATGTGGAGAAATAGGACATCGCCATGCCCCAGAAGCCCCAACCCTGAGCATTCATTCATAAAACCTACCTTCCTCGCCTATTAGTAACTACCTCATGGATCATGCCCCTGGCTGCAAACCACAATGTCAGCATTTTGAACTACCAGCTGCTCCTTGGGAGAAAGATGAAGCCACGGGGGCAATTCTACTCTGTCCTACAGAGTTGCTGTGAATTGGAATCCACCAGATGGCAATGAATTTTGGGTTGGATCCCAATTTTGACAATTACTTCCTTGTTTTTCTTACTACTTGACTTCCTAAGTATGGACCCCCCAAACACAACTTTTACCTGGTTTTTCACTTCACATAAATAGAAACATACGATATGAATTCTCTGATCATTTTCTGTGAAACTTAGAAGGACAAATCTTTTTGCCTTGGACTTCTTCTGCTCGTGATATTTGTACAGTTCAGCCATGTTGTTGAAGTTCATCCCATTTCAGTGATGCGCAACATTCTATTGCATAAATGCCCCCACAATTGAACCTTTTTACTGTTAGGGGACATTTTCATTGCTGAGTTTGGGACTCAAAACCAAACCAAATTCACTCCCCTAGAGTGGATGAGGCTCAGTGACCCAATGGGACAGGTAGAACTGACCCTGTGGGTTTCTAAGACTGTAACTCTTTGGAAAGTAGAGTAGCTCATCTTTCTCCCATGTAGAGGCTGGCCCTTTCCAACTGCTGGCCTTGCGGATAGCAGTCTAACGCCTGTAAGTTTCGGACTTACAATTGCTAAAGATGTGGTTACTCCCTTCTAAAGGGAATCACTCTTGTATGTCCCTCCTGATTAGCATGTAACAAATTTATTTGGGGGTCATATTTGGTAGAGAAATTGCTAGATAATTTTTTATGCATACACATTTTCAATTTTAGCGTGTCACATTGGTTTTCTGTAGTTTTGCTAATTGCTCCCTAATCAGCAGTGTGTGAGTTCCTGTTCTTTCCTACCCTATCAATATGTACTTGTCTTCTCAACTTCAGCTCTTCTGGTGGGTGTGTTGGTGCTGCTGTGAGGTGTCATCAAGTTGGTTCTGCCACATAGTGACCTTATGCACAACCGACCGAAACACTGCCTGATTCTCCACCATCTGAGTCGGCGAACACAGCTCTTCCTAGGCTTGAGCCCCTTGTTGCAACCACAGTGTCAATCCCCCTTCTGGAGTGTCTT